TTTACTTCACCTGCCACTTAGTCTTGTCGCCTTAGTGCCATTGGTTTTCTGGGACACACCACCTGGCAATGCTAGTGCCTTGTACCTCATTAATGGCCTCACCTCAGCTATTACCAACAGGGAGGTATCATCACTGGCAAAAAGGACTTAACTGGAATTTCTTTGCAGCAAGCAAGTTTCATTCTGCCAACCTCACTGAATTTGGCCTACACTCAAAAGAAAGGCAAGGCAGACAAATACACTCAGACTAACACAGGTATCACAGGAATTTTAACTCTGCACTGGTTGGTGATGAGGAAACTAGCTTCACATGGGAATGACTCTTCAGTTTTTAAAAAGTTAATTACATATCCTTTACAGGATGTTGTAGAACCATTGCCAGTTTTTTTTTTGGCTGTTGTAGTCTTTCTAGACAAATTTTATGTCTAGTAGTTTGCAGTTACTTTTTTAATGGTTAGTTCTCTATGCCACTGTCAAAACTAACACAAGACATTCTGCTGCCAAATTGCCAACATGGGGGATGGTAATGCCTAGGAAACAGATGCTGACCTCTTTCAAACTCTATTTAGCTCAAATAATTCTTTCAAAAAAACAAAAAAAAAATACTCCCACATGAAAGCAAAACATACAAACAATCAATAAATAAAATCTTAAACCCTAAGAAGTGAGATAAATAATTTCATTTATTGTAAAAATGTGGTATAAAACAGATGATAAGGGAGGTAATTATCTCTGTTACACTCACATTTAGCACCATACTTCAGTTTGGATCCACATAAACCTGCCTCCATGGTCACTCACATCCAAGCGTTGGTTATCCTATCTGTGTTGAATTTAGCTGTAAACCATTGAAAAGCTGGCCATATCAAGCATTTTAATTTTCACTGCCGATTATGTGCCATAAGTAAAGAACTGTTTTTAAAATAGGTACAGGCAAAAAAGTGCGTGATGCTAACTCCCAACTTCTGCAGACTAACTTATAATTATCTCATAATCAGGTTAATAGTGTGCTGTTCTTTTTCATTTTTCTGTCATTTCTTGGTAGTTATTTTAGCCTGTTTTGACCTAGGAGTAAGATTTGAAAACATCCGCAAGTCTGTAGTATTAGAAAACCTGTCCCTTTGTCCAGACAGAAACATATTATTTGTTTTGCTGCAGTCGTTCCTATTGTTGATTTTCATTTTTTGGATCTCAGCCTTATATCTAAAATGCAGTGTATGGTATATTGTGTTTGCATGGGACAGAACTTAGATAACGATATCATAACCATGGAGCAGTTGCTATGGAAAATTTTCCTAATGATTTCCTGTATATAAAATTATATTCAAGCAGAAAAGTTTTTTAAAAAGAAATTTCTACTATTTCAATCTATCTTTAAGCTGTGGTATTTGCAAATATAATGGAAATAATTCTTTGGCTGTTTCATTACATTAGATTTAGTTACTGCTTTTGGATTAGAGTGTTAACTTTATGTAATTTTGATTAAAATAGAATATGTAGTCAAATTTTTATGGAAAAGTTTGGGACATTCTTGCCAGTTTGTAGGTCCTGACAGCAGGCAGGGATAAAAATTATGTTTCGAAACAAAGAAAGTGTTTACAGAAGTAAAAACAAGGCGAAAGACAAACCAGCAAGATGTAGATAGAGATTTGACTGCCATAAGAAATACCACAATATATACATCATGCGCAAGCTTCAGCCTAGCAGCCTACACACGCTAGGAATTAGACGCACTAAATATTCTTCTCAAGACCTGGTACAAAATGAACTCATTGTTTTAAGTAAATGAAAGCCGATCTTTCTTTCTGACATAAAATGTTCCAAAACTGAGGAATGTGACACATTTAAATAATAAATATTGAGAAGTATTTAACCCTCAAAATTATATTAGAATTGATCTTGAAAGTCAGTATAAAAATATGACATCAATTTTTGACCAGATCTTACCTAAAAATTAAAAAAATTAACTTTTCTCATAGATTAAAAACTACACACAAAAAAATGTTTGTGATCTTCAGGAATATGAGAGTTCTAAAACACATTCAACTTAAAGAAAACAGTAACAGATTTCACCTCCTCCAATGCAACAGAAATTGTTACTATAAAAAAATGAAAGCCACAAGCAGATTAAATGATGAAACAAATAAAAATTACTAAAAATAAATTAACTATAACTTCAAAATAAACAACCATTCTTATACTACTAAAATTCACACAAACTTGTTTTTTTTTTCAAAATGGGTTTATTGTTTTGTCCCGTATGTTCAGTGAAATAGGTATTCATAGACGTTACAATTTAATGAGATGTAACACACGCCAAGAAATAGACTGGTAACATTTCTAAAAGTGACCTGTAAAATATGTCAGCTGTTAAAGTAATGAAAGTATTTGACATATGTAACCACCTACATACAGTGAATAAATATCCAACATTTGTAATGTATGTTACCAGTATGTAAAGTGTCAGTATTACCAGATGACAAACATAACTGTTTCTCAGATGTTGTCATTTGTCTTTCTATTCTCATGTTTTACTTCATGTGCTCAGTTAGTTTACCCCTTAATTACATGTTTTTTCTTGGGCTTCGGTTTTGTTTTTATAAATTTGATTTCTGTATGTATGTAAAGAGGCTTAAGTCATACTGGCTATTCTCACTAGGCCTACCAACTCTCATCTCTAAAGTATATGCACCACTCTCATAAATGAAAAAATTATTTTCAGCATTTTAAATAAAATAAAACTTCTATTGAAAATCCTTTGAAATTAAAAGAAGCAATACATTTAAAAGAAAAAAAAAAAGCTGTGGTTATATTGTAATGCCACAGACAACATTACATTTTAAATCAGAGTTTATGTAGCCAATGGGAAAATGCTACAATATTCTTAAATATATTATTGTAAATATATGAATATAAAAGCTAATTTGTCCAAGATGTTATGAAAATTAAATATTTTCCATGGTGGGGCTAGAATTTAGTAACTTTTCTAGTGCTTTCAGCATGTATTAGTTAGTTAGTCTTTCCTCTTGTGTCGAGTGCGGCACATAGGGCAGAGGTCATTTCTCTCCATGCATGGCGGTTCGTTGCAATCCGTTGTAGGTCTTGGATGTATACAAAGTTTTATTTTACTTATATTTTTATTCTACATTCTCCTGTGTAGAAGAGTAGCGAGTAAATTTTTTTTTATTTTAGTAAAATAAATAGCTTTGAATGTGTATTTGTAAAGATAACTTTTGTGTGTGTTGTTGTTGTTGTGACATTCACATTATTATAAAACCTATACACACAAATATATGACTGTATTTTTATCTTTTCATCTTATTTGTACCTTCATGCAGTGAGTTAAATAAAACTGTTGTTGTTTTTGCTTTAATTTGTGTATATGTAAAATATAATTAGTTTATTTTTGTCAGTATATCTCTTATAATTTCTTTCTAGTAATTTCTTAGTTTTAATTCCATTTCTCGCTTTTTAATTGTACTTTGACCACTATGATATAAATTTTTTTTGGGTACACAATACACATTCTTGCATTATAAAATCTAATCATCAGCTTAATATATCTTGAAGTAAAATAATAAACAGACAACTTCTATGCTTAACGACAATAATTGTTTACTAGTAACATTTATTCCTAATTATAACCCTCTTTTGAGATGGAAAATGGATCGGAATCTCACCTAACTGGATTGACCTCCAACCCATGACCTCTAAATTCACTGTGGTGCCAAATAAAAAGGGTTACAGACTTTGAACCCTATTAAAAACAATTTATGCCAGGAAATAAGTTAAGTTCTTGAATTCCACTTGCATGTATTTACAAAGTCAGCCTTAGTAATGGAAGGGCTATAAATTACTGCCATGTACCACACAGTCAGTTAACTTCATGGATATTTCCCCCCGTATGCATATTTTCAACATAATATCTAATATGAAGGTTACTAACCACCATCATATGCAATATATTAAAATATTTTGCAAAAGTAAAACTTGAATGTCGGAGATCAAATCTGTGTATATTAATCTAACCTGAAAAAAAAAATAAAAATAAATACACAGCCACCATGGAAAAAATTAATGGTTGTAATTTGTATAGATGATACTAAATATTACAAATATGCATAGATTACACAAGGCATAAAGATGTATCCTAGGTCTGGATAATAAATGGAACATGATAACAATGATTTATATAATTTATGTTTGTAGAGCTTCAGCAGATCTCAGAAACCAGCATTACAACATTTTGTTTAACAACTGCAACACAACAAGACTAAAAACACTGGGATCCTAGAGACCACTTATCAATATTTGTTCTTAAGTTTAAAAAAAAAAAAAGGTTTTTTTGGCAAACAGCACAGAAAAAACTGGAAATTTGTGCAAGATAATATGTTGTGTTTAAATCTGTTTGGTTTGTTTTTGTATACAGGCAATAAATCATGATGATTATACATTGTTTGAAAAAAAAAAATAATTAAATTACTAGTGATAGTAAAAAGGTATTGGCAGTAATAATCCTGTGAACATTGTCAGCTGTTGATGTAGTTTCTATTGGTATGTTAACAATGTTTCCTACCCTAAAATATTGTTAACAAAGGGGACATAACCTTAAATATTGTTAGCAAAGGAAATGCATAGCATTTTGTTGGCAGGAAGAAATAGTTTGTTCACTTATATTCACTTAATGTGCTGTTAATTTCTTGGAATGCCATTGCAGTTCTGAGAATTTACTTTTACTGGATGTGATAAAAGCTAACAAGTTCTAGTATTAAGTCACTGTTGGTTGTTAAGTGATGTGTGAGAGTGGTATGCTCTTTTTTTACTTATTGTTTCAGTGGAAAACTGTGTGACCTAATAAATCTGCTGCTGCTATCTATCTACTTGTGCTTTCTTTTTGTGCAGCAATCTACATGGGCTATCTTCTGGTGCTAAAGAGGTTGTAGTACTGGTGACTGGTAATCCTGATGAAGTCTTAGCCTGGGTTTCAGGGAACAGTCTGCTTACTGGCTGTAGTTGGTCTTCTGGATGTGGCTGGCTTTCTCCTGAAATGAGGTAGTAATAAACAGTGGAGCTGCAGGTAAAGATAAGTCACATAGTAACTACTGCCTTTGGGGTGTCAACTAAAGTTCCGAACCGATCACCACTTTTAACTGTTCTAGGCAGAGGATGTCTCTAGAGCTGCGGTTCTCAACCTTGGGTTGCAACCCTTTTGTAGGTCGAATGACAATTTTATAGGGGTCACCAAAGACCATCGGAAAACATATATTCACTGATATTATGTATTATGAAGTAGCAATGAAAATAATTCTATGGTTATGGGTCGCCACAACAAGAGGAACTGTATTAAAGAGGCACCATATTAAAAAAGTTAAGAGCCACTGCTCTGGAGGCACAATGGCTAGGACAACCCAAAATGGGCAATGCTCTTACAGAAAGAAATTGCAGCTTACTTTAAGTATTTGGCAAAGAAAGATCATGTCTTCACAAATCTCTGATGAGACAAAAGGTCATGGACAGACATCACTATCAATGTCATAAGGTATTGACTACAAGAAGAAGACATTAAAGTGTTCTTTTCAAACTTATGATGCAACAGGCATCATACTGCATCAGATGTAACAAAGTAAACCAACTCATTGGGCAAATGGCAGCAATACTGTGCCAGTAAAAACCAGAAAGAGCACTATCACTACGACACAATCTTCTTGCCAACCCTGAGCTACCAACGCTAGACCTGGACAGTGACAGAAAAAAAAACAGAACAATTATAACTGAAATGAGATTCCTGCTACGGATTCTTCATAGAAGAACAAAAAGAGACTTTTTTTTTCCAAACATGAAGCACTTAAGCCTTGCTCATTTGGTTTAGTGTCGTGAGCATTGAAGCCCTTCAGCCTCGGTGCCACGAACACTGTTAATCTGGGGAGTATGTGGCTTTTCTGCAATCCCTTGGCTCAAATCCATTACTAGACATGCATGGGGATTGTCACCTGGCGTCCAACGCACTATCAACTGTGCTGGAGTGCCAAGTAACAAGAAGAGATAAGACCAGAAACACAGAAATCTGAAGCAAAATAGGGGTAGCAGCAGCTCTGGATGTTATTAGAAAACAACAAGTGAAATGGTTTGGCCATGTAACACAGATGTCAGCAGACAGTATCCCACAGCAAGCAATGGTGTACAGTCCAGGTGAAAAGCGAAGCAGAGGCTGATCATGCAAACAATGGACAGAGGGAATAACAGAGTCCCTGGGAATCCCCATCTACAAAGTACACACATGGACACTTTCCAGTAAACTATACTTCACCTTAGCGCTTCAAGGTATAAGAGGATACAGATGAGATGTGATGCATATGACAAATATTACTAGACATATCTTCTTATACATCAATTGGCACTCGATTGATCATATCATCATCAATCAGCAATTCCTTTGCAGAACGTCGCTCTCTTCATGACACGCCTTAAAGTATCCCTATCCATAGCCACCTCTCCAGCTCTATGTGCTTTCAATGCCAATGCATCTTCAATGTCCTGTATCCATCTTCGCGGTGGTCGACCCCTGCCTCGCTTTCCACAAACAGCACCCTCCATCACCGTCTTTTACAAGCCACCGTGACGTCTGACGTGGCCATAATACTTCAACTTTCGGGACAGGATGCTGTTTATGAGCCAGTTCTCCTTAAATGTTTAACTCACGTAGAACTTTTTTTACCATTTTAATTTAAAAGCTCCAGTCTTTTTCTTCGGTAACCGAGTGAGAGTCCATGACTCACAACCGTAAGTTGCCACAGGAAAAATGCATGATCTCAAGATTTTTACTTTAACCACTTTACTAGTGCCTTTCCATAGGTTCTTCATGCTGTATAATCTCCGCATTGCTAATGCATCTTCTTCTCACTTCTTTCAAACAGTCCCCACTGTTGTTCACTAAAGAGCCAAAGTATTCAAAATCTGTGCCATTTCCTATTTCTTCATTTCTGATTGTAAAATGTAGTTGGTGCACTGAATTTATTAAGGACATGAATTTTCTTTTTCAAATTCAGAAAAAGATTCACTTTTTGCTATGCTTTTTGACAGCCAGAATTATTTTGTCTAAACCTTGTAAACAACTGGAAAGGAGAACTGTGTCGTCTGCATATCGGAGTTCTGGGATAGGATTACTTCCAATTTTTGTGTGGATCAAACTCTCCCATGCCTCATGGCTAACTGCGTTTCTCATAACATTTTCTGCATATATGTTAAAAAAGAGACCGAGAAAGAATGCAGTCCTGTCTCACTCCTTTCTGCACTTCAAACCACTCTGTTGTTTCACCAGCTACTCTGACTGCTGCTTGTTGTTCGTGGTAAATAGATTCCATTAAGTACACCAGATGTTTTGGAAATCCCATTATATGCCATAGTTTATGGCGTTGCTCACAGTCAAATGACTTGATATAGTCTATGAAACGAGTATTAAGATCTGTCATGCATTCTCTACATTTCTCTAGGATGACGGAGGGGGTGTGTGGTCTCGAGACATGGTGTCCGCCTCGAGTGCTAGAGGTTCAGGGTTCAATCCGCGGTAAAGTCTGGGATTTTTTCACGTAGACTTGGACTCTAGTAATTCCCCCTGGTCTCTGGGTAGTGAGATCAGACACCCGTGTGCATTGTTGCGCACGTAAAACATCCCTTGGCAGTTGGAAATCTGCAGACTCAAGCTGCTGGCTGACGTGTTAGATTCTGAACAGACCACCAAACCATGTGACTCTGTGTTTTATGAAATGATTCACCAGTACTGTGCTTACTATTGTTCTTAGTTCTTCATTGGTGACCCAGTCTCTTCTTGTTTTCCTGCTGTATTTCTTATAAAACACATTTCACATTTTGTAATTTTGCATTAATATTTCTCTGGAACTGCCCATGTCTGACTTTGATAACACAATGTTGGTATGATGGCCTTGGTTGTCATGATTTGAGTTGAGTCAAGAATTGACACCACTGCACTTGAGGCATTCCCATGCATGCTCCGTCCTCATCTTCAGCAGCCAGTTCCAATACTGATGGTACTGGTCACAATCTGGTTATATGTCCGTCTTGCCTTTCCTCTGAGAGTAGTGAGCCAGCCAGACCCTCAGGTTACACCCAGATAGATGACTGACGATCAAACAAAAATGACTTACCTCTCCCTTTTCATTAAGAAGGGTGGTTACAACCTCTGCTCCAGCTCCCCAGGTGTCGGAGTCACGGTAAACCAGGTCATTGGGTCCTGCTTGGGATGCCAGTGACCTCGCAAAGATCTGTGGCACAGCGATTGGTTATTTAAAAGATATAATCATAAGAAGAATGGACAAATTTAACAGATTATTTTATTATTTGAAAGATTTCTTTTAAATGTGAGCAGAAGTGATAAATCTAATAGAATAATCTATATGAAAGATGTTTTGTTTATTATCTCCTTCTTCTTCTTCGTGTTCACCAGCTGTAAACTCGGCAGAAAGTTTCGGTTGTTCGTCCATGTCAGGACTTTGGTCTTCTTCCAGAACTTCAATGTTGCATGCACATCCGTTTAACAGATCTGGATTATTTGTATGCAGACTGTTGGTTCCATGCCTCACAAGCAGATGTACTCTGAGTTTGAAGGAAGTTCCTAGTTAGTCGACTCCTACGACATGCCTTTGGGTAGGCAGTGGGTCTATTCTTGTTTTCCCCGCAATGGGGCCCTGAAACCCACACAGGGATTTTTTTTGTTTATTATGAAAACAAGTGATGAATTCAAAAGGTTAATTTGTTAGTTAGAAAAAAATGTAATTACAAACATTGAACTGCCCAGGCCTTGTGCTATGAAGAGGAGCAACTTCATTCCCTGACCTTAATTGGCTGCAACTGATTGGCTTTTAACCCCAACAGGACATCACACCGAGTGATAAACACTTGGTGACACAAAGTGCCATCATTCGCATAAGTATCACCATGGGACAAGTCCCAGAAACCCTGTTCAACCCATAGGCTGGTGCGATGAGGTGCTTTGCATGGTCTCCACGAGGACATGGTGGCAAGCAGAAAGTCCGTGCTATAAGTGACGGCACAAGATACTTGTGGCTAGTCGAGTAAGCGAGGGGAAGCCCGAGCTAGACTCGAGGTCAGTTGATCATCAGAAATTAGAGAAGACGGTTGTATTAGTGGAAGATGTAGTCCCTATGTCGTGCGTGTGACCAGTATTTGAATATGTCATGAACGACAGAAGTCTGAATAATTGTGGAAACATATGGAACAAATGTGACTTAATAAACTGATGGTATGTGCAAAGAAGCCGACTGACGTTCGTGTTATGAATCCTAGATGTTCGAGCAGTGCAAGTTATGTTGAATTAATGATCCAGAGAGTGAGCCATGGCCAGAGCAGATACGTCGCAAGCCAAGGTGCATGACGAGTGACGTCGGCCTAAACAAGGTTCATTCCAAGTGACCACTTAGGACGACGTCACACCATGGCTCACTCTCTGGAAAAAGACCAAAGTCCAGAGATGAACAAACAACCAGAATTTTCCGCCAGAGTTTACAGCTGGCGAACGTGAAGAAGAAGAAGAGGCCAATGTCAAGTGAAAAGAAATTAAAATATAAAGTGATAATAGTTTCACCTTGACACTCTTGTTTGGTTTCAGCACAAAGTTTCTAAACGTGTACTCATACGGTCTCTTGAAGTTGTTGTCCACAACACGGCGCAACTTCCAGCCATCCAGATTTACCTCCTGAGAAAGTATAATACAAATACAATTATTTATATTCTTCACATTTGGAAAAACACCATCCCTCCCCACCCCCTCTCATCCCATGCTACTGCTAATCTCTCTTCACTTGCATAATGTTGTATACCAGATTTCAAACCAGTACAGAATGTTTGCTAGTGTTCCTGGTTACTATATCAAATTGTTGTTTGGTGTCCTTCGTTGTTTTGTTAAATTAAAGATTACAAAATGAGTGATAAGCAAACAAACAAAAAAGTGGTTGTAGTGACTATGGAGGAAAAACTACGCACTATGAAGTGACTGGACTCTGGGGCAACAGCGATAACTAATGCTTCGAAGTTAGAAGACTCGAGAAGTACAGTTGGAGAATGGAAAACTAATTGAGCAGAAATTGAATAGTGGAGTGCTGCCCAATCTAGTGGAAGTAGAAGTAATTTGTGGACTTCCTTTTTCTGTTATAAATGTTTACAACGCTCAGTGCAATCAATAAAAAAAAAACATTTTTAAAGTACTGGCCTGTACTTAAAGGTCAGAAACTACTAATTTAACTGGCTTTTGTTATAAAAAGGATGCTTCAGATTTCAAACTGCGCAATAATACAAATGGGAGCAACGTGCACAATAATGCACATGGGAGTCTGATTTCACTACCCAGAGGCCAGAGGAAATTACTAGTCCACGTGAAAAAATCAAACCCTTCACCAGGGCCTGAACCTGGGACCTCTAGCACTCAAGATGGACACCATGCAGCCCCTTGTAATCATTAAATAGTGATGTTCAATTTTTTTCCATATTTTTAAAACTATGTTAACAAATACATGCACATAAACAGCATCCTGAAAGCTGAGGTATTTGGACAATGTTAAGTAGCCCACTGACCTGGAGAGAGATTGTCATAACTAGTCATCCCCCTGTGGGATGCAGATTTTCATTATTTTGAAGCCCCACCCTGGCTCTTGCCAGGGGCCACAGCATAAAAGTAAAAAAGTAAAGATCCCTTTCCACGCCTTTAGGCGTATCGGGCATATGGTAAGAGCGCCCATATTTTCACAGACCATCAGCACTCGGTGGTTAATGTGGTCAGCATTACGCCGGGCCACAGCATAGCCCCACCAAAGATATGGTCTTATGACTGAATGCGGTTTCCGGGACCTCTCCACGTGTGATCCTCATTCACATGGTGGCACGTTGTGTCATTGTGTGTTTATCGCTTGTATGATGTCCTAGTGGGGTAAAATGCACTACTACTACTACCTGGAGAGGTTAGTGATTGGGGGAATGTGCAGTTCTGGAAAATCAGTCAGAGGCTGACCTCTGCAAATGTAGATTCAAGACATTGAAGATGCATTAGCTATGAAAGGGACCTACTGATTTCTGATGATGATGATACAAAGTCAATGTTTTTAAAACCACATTGAAATTAACTGTATATTTCAAAACTATATTGATGTCGATTCCAAGGTTTTCAGCACTATAAATTTTCATAAGCAATTGTGAGTTCATCAATAATAAGATGAGAAGGTAAAAGAATAGTAAGCTACACCAAATATTGAATTAAGAATCTACATCATAGCACTTGGGTATGGGACACCAATAAGTGCTCCATCCCCATCTTCAGCAGTAAGCGAAGAGTTACAGTTCTGATGGTACCAGTAATTGTCTGACTGTACATTTGTCTCGCCTTTCCCTTGAGTGTTGAGCGTCAGCTAGATCCCCTGTTAACTCCCCGCAGCGTCATTTTTCTCAGACCACAATGATCTATTTGTGCCTTTGCACTGTTTATGTACTCCCAAAGGGTCCTCACAACATTTATCCTGTCATTCATGAATTCACCATCAAGTGGTGCAGAACCGGCTAGTCCATCTGCCAGCTCATTTCCTAACACACCAGCCCGAGGTAGAAAAAATATCCAAAGGACGCTAATTACCTGGGACCTCTGAAGTGTTGCTTGTTACTTTGCGTCGAGCATGCCTATCTCCGCCTTTCACAACTTACTCTGTGAAGTAATGTGTGTCTAGCTGATTCTAAATCCAGCAGAAGGCAGCAGTGACTGCCTCCACCTCTATTCTCAAACTAGACCTGATAGTAAACTACACTGATAACAATGATTGAAACTACACATCTGACTACTCCACCCACCTTCCTGACACCTCCAGACGAGTTGTTCTCCAACAAAATAAACTTTCCCTCAGGATTTGCTTCAGCGATGCTGACTGGACCATTTGCTGTTCTCTGGTAAGTAGTTTTGGCCGACACTTCACCTCTCATCATCTTCACCGACAGCTGAGAGTCCCCTGTAGCCAACACAGAAACAAAAGTCATGCAATAACTAAAAAAAAATATATTTAAATATTTCTTTCCCATATAATTTAAGCTCAGTACTACAAATGCATGTTTGTGTTAGTTATGTATTAAAGTAAAGTAAAGTAAAGATCCTTTTTCACGCATCTAGGCGTATCGGGTATATGGGAAGAGCGCCTATATTTTTATATACCATCTGAAGTAGGTGGGTAATGTGGTCAGCATTACGCTGGCCGTCTTTACTTTCCCAGGACAGCCATCCTGGTACCCTTTTTATATTTGTGTATTAGCTCTTAGATATTATTTATATTTAAACTTTTTGGAGATGTGAATAAGCTTTTATTATTGCTTTATTTAAATTTATTCAGGTCAACATTTGATTGTGTACAATGAAAATTTTGATTGTAATAATGAACATTACATCACTCTGGACATACTACTTGTTGCTGTCTCCCTGTCAAATGTCACCAGGTGTAGAGGCTGAATGATCTTCTTCTTCTTCTTCCTCTTCTTCTTCTTCTGTGTCCACCAGATGTAAGCTCTGGTAGAAAGTCCTGGTTGCTCATCCATCTGAACTTTGACTTTATGCCAGGGCCTGAGTTTTGCGTATACATCCATTTCACTGGCTCATTTGTGTGCACTTGACTGTTCCTTGTTGCTCTGCAGATGTGCTCCCACTTCAAAGGGGAAGTGCCCCTCTTATGACCTGCTTACTGGAGTGGCAGTGGATCTCTTCTTGTTCTCCCCACAATGGGGCCCTGGAACACACTTGGTGATGACTGATCAAATAACTTAGTAGTTTAAAACCTCTTTTGGATTCTTTTTCTCACGTGTCCCTTCTGGGTGAAACCACTCTTAAATCCAAACTCCAGCATCCTTAAACATGTTGTTTCACCTTTTATTGCTTCTTTATCTAGCAGTGATTTACATAGTGCTCAATTCCTTGTCAGTTCTGAGTTTTCCAACTACTGGCACATATTTAACTTTTTGAGTCCCAAGGTACGCATCATACGTTTATAGGTTTCCACCCAGAGGCCCAATGAATGCAAGATGCGCCGATTTTACATCTCTTTTGACTACCCCTTGGACCTCTGATGCTAAACCCCCTGAGACTCAAAGAGTTAAACAGATCTTAGCCAAATCTATAGATAATAGAGTTAAACAGATCTTAGCCAAATCTATAGATAATGTAATGCTGTAAATCATAATTTATAGATGACATACTTTAAATCTTTTATACATTAATTATGTAATGCATACATAAAATTGTGAAAAGAATATGTTACAGTATATTTAGAAATGATGATACACTTATAAAATATCTTTTATATTTGGTAATTAAATATGCCGACACTTGATGTCTACTGAATTTACTGAACTACAAAAACCAGTGAAATTAAAATGTTTTTTTGTATATACAGAAAACCTAATGTAAATATAAAATGTACTTTATGTCTGACAATAAAATATACATAAATAATTAATGACGTGACTGGTGTTAGTATGTGTCGCTTACCCATACACATAAAAATTTCTGGTTTTTATGACTAATAAACAAATATGAAATTGTAATTAATCTGTTATCATTAACATTAAGGTTTTTATGACTAATAAACAAATATGAAATTGTAATTAATCTGTTATCATTAACATGAAGGTTTTTATGACTAATAAACAAATATGAAATTGTAATTAATCTGTTATCATTAACATTAAGGCCTTTATGACTAATAAACAAATATGAAATTGTAATTAATCTGTTATCATTAACATTAAGGCTTTTATGACTAATAAACAAATACGAAATTGTAATTAATCTGTTTCATTAACATTAAGGCCTTTATGACTAATAAACAAATACGAAATTGTAATTAATCTGTTATCATTAACATTAAGGCTTTATGACTAATAAACAAATACAAAGTTGTAATTAATCTGTTATCATTAACATTAAGGCCTTTATGACTAATAAACAAATACGAAATTGTAATTAATCTGTTATTAGTAACATTAGCTAGCTAGCCTGTATTTAAACAAAATTAGTCATTGATAATTTTTATGACTAATGAATGTTAGCATTCAAAATCCATAACAATCTAACATTTAGCTAGCAGTGGTCATTAAAACTCATAATCCATGCTAAATTTTCAGTGGTCATTTTTACTGTATTTTTACTGTATAAACAAACTGCTAATATATTTCAAATGACTGTTAAAATTCTTTACTATATTGTATACTACTGGACACCATCTTAATGTCTGTTTCATACATGAAGCATCTATTACATATAATTTTAAATACATTTTGTAAGTTTTAACAGAGGTTGCTTAATGAATTGATGCTATCAAAATTATTCTTTTTTTTTATATTTCAAATATTAGTTTTTAACTTGTTAATGGTGAAGGAAGTTCCATGGTAACTGACTGCAGTGTGTAAAGGGTTAGACCTTGCGCAATCTAGATCGCAGCATAATGAGGTGGGGTTAACAGCTCCATTCCTCTTTGTCTCTCCTTCCAAAATGCTTCATTGAACATTCTCAAAATTATTAGGTATTAATTTTATAAGGCTGATCCATGACACTGGAATTAAGAACACAATTTCCCAATTCCAGCATACCAGGTTCGATGTCAGCTGCAGGTGATTTGGTAACAAACCGCTTTGCATTGATTCCAAAAAGGACATGAAAACAATAATGTTGAGAAACCAATAGTAAATCACTGCATGTAAAACTGCCTAGAAAAACCGAAAACAATTATTATCATCATCATCATCATTATTATTAGTACTGTTATTATTAGTGTTAGGAACTGAAACTCTTTGCTTGCTGCTGAAGATGGGTATGGAGCGCTTACGGGAGTATCCTAAGTGCTGTGATGTCGATTCTTAATTCAACATTCATTATTTTTGTTGAACCCCCCCCCCCCCCCCCCCCCCCCCTTCCAAAAGAGGAAATGAATTGAAATAATAATTATTGTACAAACAAGTGTTGAAAAAACACACACACACATATATATATATATTTTAAATTATTGGAATGGAGGCGTTCAAGGGGCTTAAGCCTGTTTAATTGTGCAATAATAATAATAATGCTTATTATTATGCACGAATATATATATATATATATATTGGGGGAGGGGTGGGGGATCAAGATACCTGAGCCTTTAGGCTCTTGCGCTTATATTATGTACAAATAATAATAAAAACATTAGTGAAAATATGCAAACAACATTGATACATAAATTTATGAGAAAGGATAATCACACCAAAATGAGGCACCTTGAATAAAAAATGATAACAATTAAAATAACAATCATGCATAAAAAGATCCAATACAGTTTGTTGTACTAACAGTTATTATCAATATATATATATATATAATATTTTACTGAAACTTTTTCTCAGCATAAACATGCTTGGTGACATTGTTATGTCATGTTATGTTATGTTATGTTATGTTATGTTATGGTATTACAATTGACTTCATTGAACAGTAGACAGTCCCATGCTTGCTCAGCAACCACCTTAGTGTACATTTACTAACTGTTCCATTAAAAAGCTGCTTATAATGTCTTCTAGTCTGTCCTCCAAGACAACATAGAGGGCCATCACCAAGCTTTACTTCCAGGTCATGTTGGACTCGTTTTTGCCCACCAGTGGCTGAGTCTGTACAGTGTTGATGAGATCAGCTATGTCCATACTTCTGTCACACTGCACTGGTTCTTTACTTGCCAGTTGGTACATTTGTTTAATAACCCTACTTTTCCATTCCAAGGTGTGTAAATTGCACAAATTATTGCATTCTGAAAACAAGCTGAGATTTGCTCTGATGTAAATATATCCTAGCCCTCTTAAATTTGTTCCGGACCACCTGATTAGAACAACTCCACTAGAACATTATGAGTTGGAAAGAGCTAAAGCAATCAGTGGCTAGTACTGAAATAGTCAGACAACCAACCATAAGACATCAACACAACAGAGCATGCAACAAGCCATTTACAGACAATATTATGATCAAAACATGCTGATTTTTTTGTGCAGGTAACTATTTAAAATGGTGACACTAGTGGGCGTAATTATTAACTGAATGGTCTTAGATCCATCGGCAGTAGTGTCAAGAGGATATTCCCTATACCCTTTTAATTATTAGAAATTGTATATTTGTCAGGAAATGATTTCAAAAGTTGATGTAAATAAAAGCCAGAAAGCAAGCTGTCCCTGAAATTTGTAATGTTATAGTCAAGATAATTCAGGACAGCCACTCAAAGTTATGTGCCATGCTGATAAGCTTACACTGTCATTTTTCACCATCTCGCATGACAAGAATAACAGATCAGGTCAGTGATCTTATATCGCCTATTAATCTTGCCAAGCCATCCAAATATTTGTCTCTTTGCTTTCCTCTTGCTATTTTCCCATCAATCTTGCCAGTTAAAACCAAACTCTTGAGTCCGTCAATTCTCAAAGCATGTCCAAAAAAAAAAAACACTGACTCTCTGTGTCCCCAAAAAACACTGACTCTCTGTGTCCCAAAAACACTGACTCTCTGTGTCCCAAAAAACACTGACTCTCTGTGTCCCAAAAAACACTGATTCTCTGTGTCCCAAAAACACTGACTCTCTGTGTCCCAGAAACACTGATTCTCTGTGTCCCAAAAAACACTGACTCTCTGTGTCCCAGAAACACTGACTGTGTCTAATTTATCTAATCATCTAGAGTTTTCATACATCTCAATGAGGACTGGCTTGTTTGTTTTCCATTGCTCCATGACAATATTGTCAGTCTTCTCAAAGACATTACATGTTAAAAATGAGCAATTCTTTGGGATTGTGGGGCCCACTGACACAGACACAGAAAACTGGGATTTTTTTTACAGGAGAGTGCAGCACATCTACTTATCGACACACACGTCTGGAAATATATATAAAAGTGTGCAGTGCAACTACTAATTGACAACACACTTCTGGAAATATATATGAAAGTGTGCAGCACATCT